TCGCTCCATCACTCCATCACTCATCGCTCCATCACTCCATCACTCATCGCTCCATCACTCATCGCTCCATCGCTCATCACTCCATTGCTCATCGCTCATCACTCCATGTGTGTGACCACATGACCTGCTCGGGGTCGACCATGTGACCAAGTGACCTGCTGGGGGTCGACCGTGTGACCGCGTGACCTGCTGGGGGTTGACCATGTGACCGTGTGACCTGGCTCCGCTTCCCTGAGCCAGTGAGAGAGGCATATATACGCATTAACTAGGTGTCTGTAGTTAGCCATTTTCACAGAGGAAGTGGGGAGGATTACCGCCAAGGACTGGAGCTCTTTCGTTTCTTCCTCTGCTGCTGAGGCGTGATATGACAGAACCTGCCGGGCAGAAACAGGGGACAGGTTAGAGAAGAGAGGGCCGCCGGACGCAGACCAGAACCTCGAGCTTGGCTTCTGCTAACACTGCCCGGAGAGACAAGCAGGCCGCTCAGAACGTCAGACCTTCTTTTGTCGTCTGCTTTCGACAGAGGGAAAATCCCCGATTTCAATTCCATGGTTTGTTTCAGAAAACCGTCGCCCTCCCTACGTTCAGAGAAATATGTCACTCTTCCTTTGACATTGCTGACGTGACAAACACGTTTTTTATAAGTCACACTACTGGCTCAAACTTGGCAGAAAATTTAGATTTTTTTTTTTTAATACTGATTTTAGTTATTTTTGCTTGTGTACAGAATTAGGAAAAAAAAACCTTTGCATGAACTGACATTTTAATGTTGATATCTGGAAAGCAAGTAGTCCAGACGTGGCCTCCAGATGAAGCCTGAACCCACTGGGGAATTCAAAGAGAAAAACTGCATGGCGGGGCCGCAACGGCAGAGGTGCCCAACGCTTGCACTCAGGACTCAGGGCTGAGCACGGCCATGCCGGCCAGGGACCCACCCAGGCATGGGGCGCTCGTGGCCTGGCTGTGCCCGCCCTCACGCCCAGTGAGAGGACGGGGCCTCGGGCCCGGCTCTCAGCCCCTGCTCTAGAACTCTCCACTGGCCTGGTGGACCTGGAGTCGGGCTCACTCATTAGCTCTTACCACTGAGCATCAGAAGCATTCATTCCCATCCTCAAAAGCGATAACCCAAAGCAATGGGATACTATTTCAGACATTCTTTTTCACCAGGGGAGCGGTTATATTTTAAATGTCTATCATATTTTAAAAACATATTTAGAAAGTTTACTTTTGACAGAGCCAACACAGATTTACAAAAAACCCCAACACTTCGAGAATCATTATTAAGAAGGTAGCCATTTTCAGATACTTTAAACTGTATGTACATGTGTGTACACATACATAATTTAAATATATTTGTGTGTGTGCACGCACGTGCATGCATTTGGAACTGAAATTTCACACAAGAAGTTTATAATCTGAGGTCTCATATATAACACTATAGCCAAACTTCAGTGTTCTGTATTTGCCTTAGAAAGTAAAGTGAACTATCTCAGTTACTGGTAAATCTTGACATTTAATGTATAACTTTCTCGCTTTTTAGGTTGGCTATTTACTTATTAGGGATTTCAGAAAAAGTTATATCCCAAATACTGATCCCCACTCATCCCAACTAGGTGGGAGCAGACCAACTTCCAATACACTTCATACAAATGCACGGAGGGCCAAGCAGAGGCACCCGCACTTCTTGAAGTCCACCCCCCCTCCCCAGACTGGTCTATGATGAAAGGCACATCTGTTATACAAAGTGCACATTTCGAGGCAGTTAGTGAAATCCATCTGGAAGGGGCTGGCCCACCGGGGAGGGCAGGGCACCTACCCGAGGCCAGTCCCCAGGACAGGGGTTCGCCAGCCGCCTGGGGGTGCTCTGTCACAGGCAGACTCCCAGCCTCTATGCAAGACTTTATTCCATCGGGATTCCCAGAAGTGCGGTCCATAAGTCTCCAGTTTGAGTTTCTGAGAGATTGTGAAGCAGCTAGTCTAAGAGTTTAAACTATTCCTGATTTTCCTTGATTTTTTTTTTCTTTTCCTTACTCTGATTCTCCAAGAGTGCTGAGGGTTTCTGCTTTTGTTTCGTTTTTGTTTTCTGCTTTGTTTTCATAAAATGACTATATCTAAAGTGACTACAGCGATTCGCAGGGAGGGATGGAGACAGGGCAGGCAGGCCACAGTGGCAGTAACCACCTGTGTGACTGGAGATTTCACAGGTCAACGACTGCTTCCTGCCAAAAAAAGCGGACGATGGACGGGACACACCGCCTGAGTTTTGGTTTGGTCATGTGACCTTTGACAAGTTTCTAAAAGATTCTGGGTCTGTTTCCTTAGCTGTTAAAAGAGGACGCAAGGTCCTGACCCTCTAGAAGACACGATACTCGTGAGGGTGCTGCTATGTCACAGGCACAGTGAGTGGAGGGGTTGGGGGACTGGGCGCTGGGAAGTGGGGACCGAGGCGCCCCCCCGGGCTGCGGCCCACCTCCAGGGTGACCATCTGCTTGGCCATGGCTCTCTCCACGGCTTCGTACATCTGCGTGTTCTGGATCCCCAAGCCACAGAAGATGACGAAAGCTTCCAGAAACTGTTCATCGTTGCGGTTGAAAGGCTTGACTTGGCCAGAGTTCTCCTCCATCTTATTGACAAGTTGGCAAACCCCTACGACGACCCAGAAACGGAGCAAATGTTATTTGTGACCATCACGGTTTTTACTGACTTTAACGTATTCCCCCCACCAAGGACTGTCTCACACTTTTGGGGATGTCTGGCATCTCCAAACAAGCGAACGGAGCCTCATGGGTACCAGCTGGAGGAGGAAACTGCATGATTCACACGGGACTCATTTCATGTAGTCCGAAACGTGTGTTGCCTGTGTTCAAAAAATCCTGGAGTGCTATTTTCTTCTAGGCTCTGCCAGAGTTTTAGGTCAGTTGAGTCTCCAAAGACAATTTGTCCTTTGGAGACTAATTGGATTTTTGCGCTCTTGCCAAGAGAATAATTTTGATGCACATCAGAATTCTGGGTCACGCAGACTGCCTTTCCTTATCGAGAAACCAGAAGTTAAAAAACAATTACATACAAAACAGAACGCAGAAAACAGGCGATTCATAGAGATGGCCTCAAATTTCAAGTATGTGCCTCTGCATCCAGCAGAATCATGTTTGCAGACAACTTTTAATACTCCGAATAAAATGCAAATAAGGACTATTTACTTAGAAACAAAAGCAGAACTATTCTCTGAGGAAACCTAAAACCTCCTATGTCCTTGCCTCTTTTCCAAAGTCAAACATGTCGTCAACATAGATGGAAGGTGACATCTACGTCATGATAAATCCTCACTGAACTAGTTTTTCTCCGGAATCCTGAGCTTTGTGGTCACTGCGAGGAGCTGGGTGACTTCCTACCTCTGGGTGAAACCCCCTGTTGTTAAAGTTCTTATCTCTTCTGCCTCTAAGTCTATAACCACAGACCCCATCACGTGCCCACTGTGGGGCAGGCCTGGGCTAAATGCTCCAGTACAAACAGGGCCTCTCGTCCTCACGATTTACACTGAGGATGGTGTGACTGTCCCACTTAACAGATGGAGAAAGGTGAAGTCATTTGCTCAAGGCCACCCAGTGGGCCTAGGTCTAAAATCTCAGCATCAGGCGGCCAAGCCCCAAAGGCCACGTTTAACACCTGCAGCTCGAGGCCCTTCATGCCAGTGCTAACGGCCCCCCGCCGTCCTGCCCGCCCTCACCTTTGCCTGTGCTTGTCCACCGGCCGGTATGCTCCCCATGCCCCCTTCCCTGGCAGCCAATCGATCCCCACATCGCCTTCACAGTGGGCTCCTGGGGCCCCCACTTTCCCGGTGAGGCAGGCACCTCTCTTGTACGCCCTCACCATTGTCGCTTGGTGTACCATGGTGAGTTTTACTTCTGTCCCTCTTTGTAGGCCCCACATATCTTGATTTTATTTTTCGGGGTTCACTTCCTCAGCGAGCACAGTGCCTGCCATCCCAGCAGGAACCCCAAACACATTCACCAAGTTAATGGAAGAAGGCCGACTGCAGCTCTGACCCATCCGCTTTCCCTGGAGGACAGTCCGAGATCTCTCATGCCCCTGGTCCCTGAGATGCAGGGCTGAGCAGTACGTCCCTTCATCACCGCGGGCAGGCGCTTTCTTTAACGCTACAGATTATCTGTACTCTCGAGTTTGCTCTCTTTCTGCGGGAGTTTTTCTGCTTTAGAGTAAAGACATCACTCTCTCTGCTCTGGCATTGCGAGACAGATCACGTCTCTACACATTACCAAGGAAAGGTTTAAACGAAGCATAATGGATCTGGACGCGGCACGTAGAAACCGCAGCTAAACGGCAGTCAGCATCCATTATCCGCAAAGAACATGTCCCACGGGTGATAAAAACCAAGGGTGAGGTCCTCCAACCTCCGTGAATCCCCACATTACAAACACGGAGCCGTCGCTCTCCCAAGTCACTTTTCCTTGCAAGTTGCATGTTTCACACCCTCGCCCTAAAACCACACTGTGATTGCCTTTCGATTTTTACTCAAGTGTTCTATGTAATGTCCATTTTTTATAAACAAGATTTTTCTTTGTTATCACTTCATGAGAGTTACTGCATGTCTTTGAAAAGGAAGAGACCACAAGTGGGAACGAGACACAGCTGCTGGGCTGTGACCTAGCCAAGCAGCTCTCTCCCGGACAGCAGGTCGACCTGTGCCTGTCAGGTCACTGAATGAATACATTAAGTGTTAATCAATACTTCTGGAACGGAAAGGTATTGAAATGGAATGTTAAGAGTATAAGTATCGAGTGAGCTCAGAGCACAACAGCTAAAGTTGTGCCTATGCTACAATCCAATTGCTATCGGTACAAATATAGATGTACAGACCGAGTCAAGCTCAGGGCAAGAAAGGAATGGAGATAAATGACCCATTTAGGCATATAATAACATTCTCTTTTGACAGTGGAATGGGCAGTCATATTTACATAGCATTCATAATGATCCTGCTGATTTCTTTACAACCTTCAGAAAAGTTAATTCTATTGAACGAAAATATCCAGGTTTAAAAAAAAAAAAAAAAACCTATGAAGAATGTTTATAACAAACAGAGTTCTTCATCTGAGAAAATTTAAAGCTTGGGCACATTTATAATTTTCACAACTTTTCACTAATGACTAGAAGAGCAGATAGCATATAAAATGAAATTTAAAATTGTTCATTTGAGATGCCGCATCTACCGGCAAGCCACACAAAATCAGAATCACTCAAATACAAACACAAAGTAGTTAATGCAGAACCAAAAATGAAACAAAAACCAGTCAGCAAAAACCAATAAATATTGTTGTCGTTGAATGTTTTATTCTATGAGCGTATAAATATATAAATATATACGCTCATAGAATAAAACATTCGACAACACACGAGGACGACAGCAAGCAGCAGCACAGTGCGACCCCGACATGCCCGTGTCCCAGCATCGCTGGCGCCCGCGAGCACGCGTGCACACAGCGTTTCTGCCGGTCGCCACCGGGCCCTGAGAGCTGGCTGGCACTGCAGGCGTCTCTGGAAATGATGCTGTCGGACTAGCGGTTTCTGGAATCACACAACGATGTCTCCTGTTCTGTAACTGCAGGGGTCAGATGCTGTGACCAGCCACAGCTGTCCTCTTGGCTTTCGGTAGGGTGGAGCGGCCCGCCCTGCTTACTGTTCCATGTCCTCCCTGCCACTTAACACGGACTCCACAGCCAGCATCCCAGACCTGCCTTTATCACCTGCCTTGAAAATATTTTTTTGCATCTGTCATTTGTCAATTATCTTAATTTGAGGAGTTTCTTTTTTTGATGTATAAAACATTTAATTTTTAGCAGCCAAAGTAGTCGTCTTTACAGTTTTCAACTAGTGTCCTGCTTTAAAAAAAAAAAAAAAAAAAACTTCCCCATTTTAAGATTACTATAAACCTATACTTTCTTCTAGAACATTTATAGATTTATTGTATCCCATTTAATCTTCTAATTCAATTTAGTTTGTCCCCAAATTGCTACTGGATTTTTAGTGTCAATTTTCTAATGATCTGAATTATTACCTTAAATACTAAATTCATACTTATTTCAACTATTAGGTACTTGTTCACATCTTCATATTTTTGAAATCAGTATGCATCCTAATCAGTTGCTAGCCACAGTTTAAGTTAAATCATGTTTTTCTTTCTTGGAGGTATTTTAAAAATGGTGTCTTTCAACCAATGGTATCTTAGAAACAATGAAATACACTGGTTTCAAAAATGACACAGATACTGTATCGACCAGACCTGGGTCTGCACTTAGACTTTCTACTGTGTTCCATCAGCCTTCCACCTCTCCCAGCGTGCACCCAATACTGTTAGTTATGTTACTTTCTCAGCATTGTATTATCCTTTATCCATTAACTCTGATTCCTTTTACATGTTAGTCTTCCCGATGAATTTTATAAATGTTGGTCAAGGATCCTGCTTCCTCTAGAAAAAAAAATCTGACAAGGATATGTATCCATGTCAATCAACTCATGTAAACTGATGCAAATCTAATCTGGGGAAAGCTGGCATCTTACAAAATAGATTCTTAATGACAGGAAATGTTATTTCAGTTCACTTACTAAAGATTTTTAAATTATTCAGAATTTTATAGTATTCCTTATATAGATGCTACACATCTCACACTAATTTTACTCCTTTTTACTATTATAAATGGGATTTTTTTCCCATTATCATTTGTCTTAGCATATACTATAGTGATTTCTCTTTAATAACTTGATAACCAGGCACTTTTTAAACTCTCTTTTTAGGTAGCTTCTACTGGCTAATTCTCTTGGGTTTTTGCATTTAACAACCACATTATTTGTAAGTTATTTTATTTTGCCTCTTCCTTGCCTATGAATCACCTTATTTCATCCTCTCTTCTGCTTTGATTACAATTTCCTTTGGGCAATAGTTTTTTGTTTTGTTTTGTTTTTTTAATTACTTTAAAAATAACATTTCAATTACTTTTTTTAAATTACTTTAAAAATAACATTTTTTTAAATTACTTTAAAAACAACTTTTTTAAAAATTACTTTAAAAATAACATTTCAAAATTTTGAACTCCTCTTGAGTTAGTATTGGTTATTACCAATTTTGACAGAATTTTTCCATTTTGTCAAAATGTATTATTACCTTTTTGTACCCGCATTATCTAACATCTTTTAAAGTTTCTATACCTGTAATTGGATTTCCTTTCTCATTCCTATTTCTTTTATAATACTCATCTGTATTGAAAGTTTGTTTATTATTATTGTTTGCCCATATTTCTTGTTTTACTATATGTCCCCTCTTTTCATATATTTATCTTTTCATTTTTCCCTCTGCTGTCTTTCTTCTCATTTATTTATTTTGGGGGGCAGCACAGAGGATGAGAAAGAGAAAGGTGCTGTTTTTATAATTTCTTCAGTTGACCACTTCAAAAAATTTCATTATTTCTTGATTAATAACAAAACATTTAAAGTAAAACATCTTCTTTGCATAGCTTTTACTGTTTACCGTGAGTTTTTGTTACACCGATACAACCATTAATTTTCTAAAATGCTAGACAGTAGTTCTCCCTTATCCTGAAACCCCTCCTTATGTCTGAAACCGCAGAGTTCTGAACCCTACATAGACTGTTTTCTCCCGTACACACATACCTTTTCTCTCAAAGGAAGCACTTACGGCTTCTCTTTCGCATATCCGAATTGCCAGCATCACTCCTTCTGACTTTATGTCCATAGTTAAGTAAAAATGACTCAAAAACAAGCACTGCCATACCAGGACAGTTAAGCTGATAACCCTGATGGCTACTGCATGACAAAGAGCAGGGAGCACAAAGGCCCCAGGTAAAGGGAGGGGTCACGTCCCAAGTGAGACGGTGTGGGATTTCACCACGCTACTCATGTCCACACCCAGTTTAACACAGGAATTGTGCATTTCTGTAATTTCTCATTTAATATTTTTGGACCGTGGGTAACTGAAACCATGGAACTACTGTACTTTCGTTTTGACTTCTGAATTCTTTGTTGTTTAGGAGAATGCTTTTCAGTTTCTGAGTTTGTTCCTTCCATTTTACCCTATTATTACGCATTTCCAGTTCTTTTTCTTTTTCTTTTATTTTTTGCATTTCCAGTGTGAAGGCATTGTGATCCATGAAAGTAGCTGTCAATTCTACTTTTCAGAAATGACGGTGTTTTTGTTGTATGTGTGTATATCATCAATATTTGTAAATTTCTAATGGGTATTTGACAGGAATTTGTATTTTTAATGATATATAAAAGTAAATCAACATATGCCAATTAAATCCATTTCATTTTTTATATTAGTCAATACTGTTTCCTTATTTTTTTCCTGTACTTTAACGTTCTACGAGAAGCGTACGAAAGGCTCTCATTATGACTACCACTTTGTCCATTTCTCCTTGTATTTTTAATAGCCTTGGCTTTTATGTCAATTATGCTATTTTAGTTTATTAGAAGCATTTATGACAATTATACTTTCCTGTGTGGATTTTAAAATTAGTCAATGCAAAGTGACCCTTTACATTATGTTTTTACTTTAAATTCTATTTTGTCTGACATTATCTCTATTCAAAATGTGCCCATTTTGTGTTCAACGTGTTCTTACAAGTGGTATATATGTCATATCTTTCAGAAATTCCTCAGCATTTGAAATATCTCAGTGTTTCCGGTACAATAAAGGTAAGCTTGTCTCTTTCCCAGTGCTACTATTAAGTTTTTCTTATTTTTTTATTTTTTATTTTTCAATCAATTCTTGAAACTATAAGACCTATACTTATTTTTGTTTTATAGATTTTCACTTTTATAATTTTAAGCTATAAATTCTTAGTTTTATTTTTTTTCTCATTTTATTCCAATTGTTACTGTCCCTACTGTCTTATTTCCTGGTGCTTATTATAACTATGAATAAGTTTTCAATTCTCTAATTGAGAAAAAAATAGATAATTTAAGCATTACGAGCAATGTGTGCCATGGATGATACTGCACAGTTTAATTACACTTTCATTAGAAAAATCCCAGCAAATATTATACATACATGAGCAGTTAGTGACATAGCCAAATGATAGAATATAATATGAAAAATAAAATGAAGTTGAAGTCAAATTTAAACTTACATAATTTGGACTATTTATGTATGCCTTGGAATCAAATTGCAACACTTGATGAGAGTAACCAGTTCAGGACACACGTTCAGTAAGAGATGTGTATTTCTCTCTCATATCTCACTGTCAAGCAATGTATAGTATAACACTATACTTCTCATTATATTTTTTCACTAACAAAGAGATGAAAACGTAAGTTATTTAAAGTGGAGATGGTTACTTTTTTTTTTTTTTTTGACTGGGAATAGGACTAATTTCTTTAAAATATGCTCTGAAATCGGTATGAAAACATGGGCATGAGAATTTCTGGTAAATAGGATGTGGGAACGGGGCATATTTAGCCTAATGAAGAGGGGGAATATTTGGTTAAGATAAACGGAGAATGAGAACAATCTTTCATGAACAGCGTTGGAAGCGAAGCGGTGGAAACCCTCTGGATTAGCCAGAGCGCCCAGAAGACAGGAGCTGGGAGACAAGGCCCCAGGGACTGCGCCTGACGAGGCAACAGGCCCCGCCCGGGTCTCATGTCTGTAATTTCATCTGAATGTCCGTGATGGAAACAAATGAGAGAGAAGGAAGATTGCGAAAAACTCTTGGGCCCATTTGTCTTTCTGCATGTAACTCTATGGGGATTCTCTATCAGAATTACATAAGAGCAGAATCTGGTCTGTGACATACAGGAAAAATGATCGACAACCGTGGCATTTTCCACGCTGCCTCTGTGGGTAGTCTAGTGGAGAACTCGAATTCTCCTTCCTGTTACACTCATAAACAGCAGGAACACTGGAAATGCTCCTTCTCAACCTGGAATCGCGCTCCGACCTAAAACCCCAATGAGGAATTGCTTTTTTCTTTCTTTTTATTTTCAGGGAATTTCTCCTCTCCAAAAACATTTGCTTACTTTGTGCTCTGTTCTCAAGTGGGGTGACACAAAATGCATGCTGAGAGAAGTCTGATTCTTTCGACTGGCATTTAAAAAGATTCTTTTGCTCATTCGTATGAAACAGCAACAAGATCATAGAGTGTGAATTTTGAGCGGATCTGAAAGGCTGGTTCAGCCAGTAGAAGGCCCTCCTCTCTCCTTTAGTTCCGAGTTCTCGGGAGAATGCGGACAGCTCAGATACTCTTCAGTGTCAGCCATGCACATACAACCCCGTATTTCCTGTTCTACTCTTGATATAACCAGCAGTGCCAAGAAACAAATGTCAATAACATGAAACATTCCATTTTCTGAGAATACGTTTCTTCCACCACTCTGCTTGCAAATATTCTTCTAGAACCTCATATAAGAACGTGAACTCCCGTGGGCAGGGATTTCCGCTTTGTTCTCGGATTTATCCCACGTGCGGAATGCTCGAAAAACATTTTTGATGAATGAATGAATACGACCTACAACCTAAACCACATATTCTAAAAAGAAAAATGAGAAATTAAGAAGTGAGACTCTAAAATAGTACATGTTATCAACTTGATGTCTTGGCCTACTAACTTTTGACACATCATTCCTAAACAAATATTCTGTTAAAACAGGATTATAATAATTACAGAAATAAATCACAGTTAATAAGATATTTAACAAATGCCTGTTATTATTTCAAAATTCTTTTATCATTCCAAGTTTTATATTTTCCACATTTTGTTCTTTAAATTTACACTTGAAAGACAGGCGTTTCTGAGAGCACATGTTTTGTTTTCAGAAGTTCAGAGAAGAGGTTCATGGAAAGGCTTACCTATCACTTTATTCTTCTTTCCATTTTTTATAGGTGTACAGAGCAAACTTCTAATGCGTTGCTGACTTGCATTCCCTGTGTTTTCATTCTACACAAAAACAAAACAAAAACCAGCCCAAAATTATGAAAAGAAGATTTGCCCCCTGGATGCTGTCATATAAACTATCCTGGACAAACGAAACCACTAATACATTCACCTTTGATTAGCTGGAGTGCCAGAGCGCAGAAAATGTACAAATTACGATCAAGTTCACGTCAATGCAATATAAAGCGATTAGTCTTTACATCATTAAAAATAATAAATATCCTATATTTCCCTTTTCCCCATTTTAAATTTTCCAAGGAGCTTACAGTAATATTAAGCAAAGTACGTACTCAGCATCCACTACACCTGGGGTGCAGCTGACGTCTCAAGGAACTTAACAAGAAGGGGGGCCCCGAGGTGCGGCAGCGCCCGCCCCTCCACAGTGTGCACCGCCACCGCTTCCACTGCCCGGGTGCCCGGACTTCTAGAAGGGCTCCTAGACAGGTAAGCGGTAAAAGCGTGTGACGCCTTTCTAAAACACAGCGAGAGGAAACGCCAGCATTCAAAGCTTTCAAAGTCCGAGAAACTGCTCTTTGCAGCTTTGCTGTCAGGGCAGACGTTCATTCATTTCCCACAGAGCTACTCAGGGTGGGAGATCACCAATTACACAAGGTCGAGCCATGCGGAATTTAAGTTTTGAGAATAAATTGAAGAATTCTTGCAATACTACCTAAGAAATGTCACTGATATTAAGGAGGTAATAGATAAATTACCTCGAAATTAGTTTATGGTAATTCATTAATATATCTTTAAAAACTGATAAAAGTACACAGAAAAATACTCAAGCATCACTGACCAACCCCTACTTCATTCTCCTTCCCCAGACCAGGGAAAGCACAGATCAGCAATGCTAGGGCCAGTCCCTCAGCCGAAGGGTGGCCGACAGTGCAGATCCAATGGGAGAACAGCCTTCGAGCTCCGAGCCTACAACTGCGTTGCTTACCGTCCACGGAAATCTTTTGTCCTTAGTGACGTCTGGGACATTAAGTGGCTCCATAGTATTTTTGACGTACTGAGCGTACATGTAATTGATTCTGTTTGCATCATGTTCCCTGTGGAAATAAGAGACATGAGCTCTTTCTGAGCAGTGAAGAAACATGGGCAAAGCAGAGTTAAATAAATGATTAGAAGAGAAAAATGCCGGTCTCAAAATGACAGGACAAAGTGTACCTCCTAACTGGACTATGCGGCTTTCAATGTTTTTGATGATTTACAACTTTGGGAGTTACTATAATGGAAATATTTTGAAAAGACAAAGACCCACAAGTTTTCAACTATCTAAAACAAGATTTCAAATGGCATCGGTATTAATAGCCAATCATATATTAATAGCCATGTTGTTTGTTGTGCCATTCAATGTAAAATCCATACGAATTTCCTCCCAGGTCTTATTTTTCTTGAGACTGTAGAGTGACGAAGGACTGGTGCCTGCTTTCCTTCCTCAATTATTTACTTTATCTAGTCATCCCAATAACACTTTCCACATTTTAGACCAAGGGAAAAATCAAGCATGCCTAGAAGAGATTTTATTGAGCTCTTCTTCTGCTTTGAGAGCTTTCGTGATGATTTTTAAATTGAAAATTTATCTTCTTCGAAAAATTCTCTTGAACTTACAATATTTCCCCCAGCTTTCTTCCAGTTTCTTGTTTAATAGGTTGAACAGAAAAGATTAATCTGATGTCAGACAGAACATAAGCACTGTGCCCGTGCTGGAGTTGGGCAAACAAGACACGACACGTGTTTTTTTCATCGGGAAACTTTATATGTTCCCTGGTGACGGGGATGAATTCACAAAGAAGGTCAGCTTATGGAAATTTGCTCCAACTTTGAGGATTTGCCTATCTTCATTTTAATATCACTAACTGAAGAAATAGGGAAGCTTAATACTGGAAGACATTTCAAAATAAAATACACGCCTCAGGAAGAAATGTCCACTTGCTCTGAGTTCTCAAAGCTCCAAGAGTTTTCCTAGCTTCCATCCTTCTCACCCAAACTGCTTCTTGCACAGTGGTTTCAAATGGTTTCCTTGAGCTCCAGCGATTCCACAGAGACGCCTGAAGTCTGGCCTCATTCCTGGCCGAGACATTTCAGTCTGTCCTTTCTTTGCTGTACGTTTCAACTAAGTGTAATCTGCTCAGATCGAATACTGATCCCATGTCCGCTATTACGTGTAGGTGAAAGAAAATGAACAGTCAGACCAAAGACACTCCCGGGCTCCTGTCCACACGTATTATCTGGGTGGAAACCCAAGGAAAGCTTAAGAGATGAGTGCAGGACTTCGGTTACGAAAACAACTTTTAAAACTACAAATATTTCATAGACAGCAAAAATCTCGGGAAAGGAAAATAAACGTTAGTAAAGATAAGAAAAATGCAAGAGTGGTTACTGTGAGAAAAAGAAAAAGTACACTGGAGGAGATTCCTTCTTCCGAGTCTTTTTTTACATGATAGCAATACGATTAATGACTTTTATTATTCTTATCATGACCACACTAACAGTGGGAGCCGGATGAAACCCAAAGGAGTTAAGCGACTTGCCAGATAGGATAAAATCAGACTTAGAGGCACTGACATAGAGAAGGAAAAATACTAAAATTACTTTTAAATCAAAAGAAACTAATTAGTTTTTAAATTATTTTGTTTCCCTAATGGCAATTTTAGCGAAAAAGAGACTTTATTAAGTTATGTGATACCATTTTATTTCTGACTCTATGAGAAATGCTAATAAATTCTTAGTTCCCATGCTCGGTAAATACAGATGGAGCACCTGCTCCCTGAGAGGCACACTTAGCGTCACAAAGGAGACGAACGTAGAGTAAGTGGCTGGGACAGGAGCTCACAGTCCAGCAGAGGGCTGTGACTGTGACAGGTCGTGTGTCACGTTACTGCGTGCACTGCTCAGGGGGCTCTGTGCGGAGGCTGCCCGCTGCCCTCCGCGACTCTTCCTCTTCCTCTTCTTCTGCACACACAGCCCCAGAATGAAGATGACAGGCTCGGCCACCCAATGGCTCGGTGCCGCCACGTGAGGTCAAGTCAACAGGACACGTGATGGCTCCTTGAAACCTCAACGAAGAGACCGCTGATGCAGGCTCCCTGTTCTTCTCACTGCCCTTTTCAACATGGACATGAGGCTGGAGCTGCACCCCTGGCCCCAAAGGGAAGGGCCACCCCCTGGAGACCCGGAGGGGAAACCTCGAGGCCTTCAGGGAGGCCTGAGCTGCCGACCTCGGGCTGTCACAGGAGCGAGTAAGAGCACAGCATTCTTGTTTTAGCCATCTTTACTTGGGGATTCTATGTTGCAAGCCTTAGCCAAGCCTCGTCCTTGCTAAGGCAACTGGTGACAGTGCCACACACACACGTGGAGAAGACGGGCCGGTGACACCTACGGGGAGCGGGTTAGGGAACAGGCGGCATCGAGGAAATGCGCGCGAGGCCGCATAAGATTGAAGGGTGTGAAGAGACAACTAAGGCGTTTTGCATGTGGATATCAGCGGACCGTGTGTGACTACATCCTCGGGAAGACCCTTCGGGGCATGGAGCTTGGCAATGCTGAGAAACTTCTGGGCTTTGGAACTAAGGGGAATCACTGCAGGCTACGAGATCCAAAGACAGAAAATGTATCAATCAAAGCGACACAGAAAGAGCAGCTAATGCGAAGGACTTACTACGTGTCAGAAATTTTCTGAAGCATTTTGTGTGCTTACGACTATCCCCATTTTTACAGATGAAGCAACTGAGGCTTCAAGAGGTTAAGTAACTTACACAAGGCTTTGCATCCAGTAACAGGTGGAACTTAACTTTAAGTACAGTCATTCCGACTTCAGAGTCCATGATCTTCTGCTCTGTGCCCAGTGTTTCAAAGGAGTAAAAACCTTTCCACTAATTTTTAAAGTAATAGGTGCTACTATAGTTAACTATAATTACATTTTCTAATGCAATAACAATGAACAGGTATTAACTAGTACATATATTCCAAGAAAGTGAGTTTAGAGAATTCTACATATTTGTCATTTTATGATAAAAATGTGCATTTATAAATTAACACAAAACTAAGTAACATGGAATTACAGCACTAAAATGTCTAAAATCAAGAGCTAACATACACTGTGCAACGTCATAGTCATTTTTTCCTTCTGACTGTGTGGTCTTTGCATTGAAGCACACAGACTAAAATCTCCCGCCTTCTGGAAATAAGCTTCCCTCCTGAAATTCTTGGGCGACCCAACTCCCAACAGCTCATTGTGCTCTCTCCCACTGATAACGCGATTCTAATAGTTATGTATCATGTGCGCCCTAAATATTTTTCAGTTTTACACTTAACATTTCAAAACCATCTCCAATATGTCATTTTAATTTATAAAAGATAGTGGGTTGCTGGAAAAATAACAAATGAGTCACGCACAACTGACACGTAACCGCCTAAAACGAATGATTTGCTTACTGCTAATGTCATCGACTTGCCTAGTGGCTCATCTCATGGAAGAGTGTTTGGGCTGACGAAATGTTTAATAATGAGAATTAGTGAGGCCTAAATTCTATCAATAAGCAATTTTACAAAGATAATAAAGAATCAGCTGGTGAAGTGTGAATATCAGTTTAGTCCTTTTTTCAAAATGTGGAAGTTATTAAATACCATTCTAATTCAGATTTATTACAAAATTCAGCCTGATAACTAATGTTTATTAAAATGGAAACATATTTATATCAGTAAGAGATTTTCTATTGCAACATCAGAATAAAGGCTAAGTTTAAATGTTTAGCTGACATAAGACATTAATACTGAATAATTTTCATTACTGTAAAATCATTTAATGAATCAGTTAAAATGATCCATGTAAATCAGTCTCTTTTAAGGTAATCACACTGACCTAGTTAACTTTTGTAAGAAATATATTTATAATAAGACTGTTTTGAAATGATTAAAAAATAAATGAAAAGATACCTCCATTTTACCCACGGAGAGGGAATGTGGTATTCATCAGAAACAAATTGAACATATAGTAATACATTGAATATATAGTAAGACTTCACTTAAAAAAAAAAAAGGCACATTGACCAGTAGGGGTCACTGTTACTTTGTTCGGCTGTCACCAGCTGGAATTAGGGGACCGGTCTGAATTAGTTACAAAAATCTAAATGCGAATATAGGAAATACAATCACGCAAACATGCTGCTGCACAAATATTCAAAGGTAAATGTAGATGATTCATTACTTTATACGTTTAATATGCATTATCATGCCAATTTTCCTATTGCTCTATAGATAATATGTAAAATTCATAAATATACGTGTATATATTTATATTTTTATATTTGTGTGTGTATATATATATATATAGCAATTCATTATTTGTGCAAGCTGAGCAGTAAAATGATCAAATATTTACGTGTTATCTAGAAGCTTTCTAAAATGTTCTTTATGAAAAGCGACAAAAATGCCACAGCATCATAATATCAAAATCCTACATATTAATACTCGTCCTAAGAATACGAAATGCCGCGGCTGAGTTAGGTGGTGTAGCCAGATGCCAGAGTGTGGGAGGGACACACACGTGCTCACCAGGCCGTGTGCGTATTACCGCACAACGTCAGTGCTGACCGGGCGGTGCCGGACACACCGGGGATACGCACGTGGCTCAGGTGAGAACGCGTGTGGAGATGGGCCAGGAACTGCAGCTCGGACCAGCGTGTGTGAGGGAGACCAGGGCCAGCCGTTCAGGTACGAGTATGAGGACCAAACTCAGGGGCAGCAGGAGACGCTCTGGGAGGAGATGCCCGGTTTACCCACCGGGCGCCCACCCCCTCGCCCGGGTCGGCAGCAAAGGCCTGCCAGGGGGACCTTCTGAGTCTAGTGAATTCCCATCAGCCCCAGGCTCCATCCTGCCCCTCTCCTCACTCTCAAAATTCTTTTAATAGGAGAAAAGGCCTTTCATTGTATCGTATTGTTAAAATAATTGTCTAGAAATAATGAGTTTTGATTTAAGTACAATCGTTCAGACAACTTTAAGTCGCTGCGGCACAGTTTATCCACTCTGACGGGGGAGGACTTAAGGCGGCAGGAGATGTGAGAAAGGACGGCGGGGAGAGAAGGGGAAGGGCACACTCGAGGGCAGAGGCAGCTCCGCAGGCCAGCCGCGATCGCGGGGTCAGGCTCTGGACGGCTGGAACGAAACCAAGCTGTGCGGTCAGGTGTTTTGTTCCGCAATTCTGCTTTATACGATCTGCAGAGATGATTTTTGTTTTGTTTTGTTTCCAACTTTTTACTACAAGCATTTTCTTCCAATTTTTTTTTTTTATGATGAACGTTTTGAAATGCACAAAAAAGTTGAAAGTACAACAAAAATCCTACTTCTAGATTCAACAATTTTTAATACTTTGCCACATTTGCTTTATCTAGGTATGCATGTTTGGATATTTATTTAAATATAATAAATTTAGATATGTTTGCTCACTTGACTTTGGCCAAACCACTTTAAAGTAAGGTGCAGACATCATGACACATCAGCATGAATCTCCTAAAAATAACACTCTCCTACCAACCACAAGAGCTTCCTGATCCCAAAGAAAAGTGACAGTCACTCCCCATCACCACATTCAGACTTCCAGTTGTCCTCGAAAATGTCTTCACTATTTTGTTTTGCTCCCTGGGATCTAATCAGGCCCTGTGTGGCACCTAGCTGTGCCCAAGGGCAGTCCCCACCTCTCTGTCCCTCAGTACACTGACTTTGACGAGACCCGGCCAGCCATCTTATGGAATGTTCTGTAGTCTGCATTTGCACAGAGGTTATTTTTAAAACACAACCACCAAGATGCTTAGTTATGGAGGACTGAACTAATTGTGACAGCATTCACTACATGGAATAATCTTCTGATAGGTCAAGTATAGTGAAAAAAATATGAAACTTTAATGTCAAATAGTAAAGTTAAGATAATGTTTTATTTCCAGGCTCACAAGAGGCTTCCAGACATAATATCAGTAATCACTGGTAAAATAATTTGAAAGAAACGAACGATGGATAACGTGCCCAAGAATTCCTGACCCTCTATCGTGGCAGACTTATATTTTTTAGAACATGCTATCACTTAAGCAAACACCGGTTTTTGCCAAGAGTGGAAAGGAAATATGAGAAGAAGCATCTGGCAGTTTCCTCTAAATCTTTTTCGAAATTCTCCAGAAGACACTTATAAAATGGGGGTATGACATCTACAACCTCCGCCATATAAATATTTTCTATTGTTTCTGAGTGACAGTTAACAAAAAATGAATACAGATTTTAAAATTATGAAAAAGAAATGAACGACAATGAAGATCTGATCTGACTCTAGGCCCAGAGTATGGCGCTGTTGGGACTGGGGCCACAGGCTCCCTTCTGCTCAGATGCCCATGGCTGACTCCAAACCAGAACAGATGCACCAAAAACGTGTTCAGACGCCTGGCAATTTCCAGTGAGGCTCCAATATGCAATGGAAAAATAGAACTGAAATACTGTCCTTGTGAGTCTTAAATGAGCCAGCTCACAGAAAACACTGTGCCCAAGCCTTTGCTAATTGTGACACCATTCACTCTATGAAAGAATTCTCGCTAGGTCAACTGTACCGAAAAAACTCTGGAACTTTATAATATCAAGCAGTAAAGTATTTTCACAAGCAAAACTATTTGTGGAGGAAAAAACAGCCCGTAGCTTCTATGTCTTAAATTAAAGGGGTTATGTAATAAGTATTTAGCCAGTATTATACAGTTGTGAATAAAGACAGATTAAGTTATTTTACCTTGTTAAAGTATCTGATGATTTCTCTAATTCCTCACATTCCATGTGAAACACACTAGAAAAGGAATCCTGAAAACAGAGCAATAACACGGGCTGAGAAATAAGTCTGACAGGGTAATAAAAACCGTCTAGATACAGACATACATGTCTAAGCAATGAATGACACTAATAGTTCTATATGATATTTTTTATTTACTTTTAGATTAAACTGAACTAAGTACTCATTTCATGACATCCTGTTATTAAAAGCCATGTTCCTATAGTTTCTGATCTTTACTTGCAAGAATGCTGAACAGCTATTTTTTTCTACCAGTTGTTAACACATATGTTACCTTCAAATTTTCTCTATATTTATTCAAAATCCTCAAGTTTTTGCTTTTATGCATACATTGAATGCTGCTAGTAGATCTTGGGTAAAGAATATCTTTGTAAAAAGAAATATCATCCAGTAATGTTTTCTGAGATCGTGAAAATAATTGTGAAGATTTTAGCAATAGAGAGAGTACTTTTGGAGTTATATTTAAAAAACCGGAACACATATTCACCATATTCTACATTTACACCTGAATAAAGAATTAGAAGGAAATAAAGAAATAAAACAATGATATTAGTTTAATATCATTTTGGGGCACAATTTTTTTCTTGCTGGGTACATTTTTTTTCTTGCTTATATTTTGATTTTTGCTCATATTGTTAAAATACTTTTAATCAACAAACAATTGCAATATAAATGAACATCGAGTCATTGAATTCCTTTTCTAAACTCAACAACTGGCTGGAGTTGTTAAAAAGTGTATGAACGGGCATCTGGCTGGGCTATACTTCAAAGCACCACGGATCCGAATCGGCTGCCGCCGTGATAGGTGTTAACTGGTAGAAGAGCTGAATGTTAATTAAAGTGATATTTAAGTTACCTAAAAAAGGAATGCCTTATAACTTCCAAAAATTAAATGCTAAAGAGCAGCTCACAGAGGAAACACAATAAACTGACAAACTGCATTAATGAATTCTGACCTGAACTTTAAAAAGATCGCTACTATTTGTAATCATCTCTATATTAAGATTTTATAACTGATTAAAAATATGAAGAATCTATGAGAATACTGATTATCTGATAGCATAGTGAGTTCTCATTTGGTATCCTATTAATAAGAATTATGCACACAAAAAATGATTAAGATAATGTTGGGGTCATACAGTACAGTCTTACTATCTAAAACAATTTCTATTTCATTTATTTATTTATTTATTTACTTACTTACTTACTTACTTACTTACTTACTTACTTACTTACTTACTTACTTACTTATTTATTTATGCGAGGCTACCCTTGGTTGACCTCACAGATTGCAAGGACCTTGTTAGCTCATTTTTTATTTTTTAATGCCTACAGCACCTGATCTTCCTAGGTACTCAAGACTTCCTAGGTCTCCTACTCAAGTACTAACCAGGCCCGACCCTGCTTAGCTTCCGAGATATCCCAGAAGTGGTGGTTTACAGGTTGAGAAGGGAAGGAAACTGCCCCTGGCAGGGGGCCCTGACTCTAACGGCAAGCTCGGCTGGCCTGTCCAGAAGTGATCAGCCCTCTGTGAGAACGAACTTTCCACACACATCTGTTTCTTTACATGTACCAGTCAGAAGAGCTGGGTGGGTCTCCATGTTGGTAAAGGATCTGGGACTTACAGGCACCTTTAAGAATGCTGCCTCTACTGGGCCCCAACTTTTGGTTTTTAAACAATTTCTGGCAAAAGGAAATGTGTATACCCAACCCGTTCAGAGTGGGGGACCCACCTGCTCACAGCGGCCAGCGCACGGCTTTCCCTGACCAGAGAAAGGCAGCACCTTGTGACATGGCACCTCTGCACCACGCAGTGGAGCCACCGACCGAAGCCACACCTGTGCTCCTGCGCCCACTGTGCCCAAGAGGGACACGGAGGTGAAGGGTGACCAAAGGCCCCTCCAGCCACACCTCTGCCCCTGTGCGACCGTAACAGCTCCAACCGCCACCGGCTTTACGTAAACACCACACACAGTTGGGTTTGAGAGAGGGTGTAAAGCTAATAAGGTGTTTAAAAGCTGTGCTTTAAGGAATATAAGTTTCTGTCTTTCTAAAAACAAAAAAGTCACACTCTGTACTCACGGAGCAATCTTCATCCACGATGAAAATGGTGCATTTCTGCACCTGCATGAAAGAGATAATAGTGGCAGCTATTTTCTTTAGAATTACTTCAAGTGATTGTTGCTCTTCAAAAATTAAGCTAGCGAGGTCGAGCAGCACCTAGACAAAAACATCAAGAGCTTATTACTTAGCAAGTGCTCATGATTATTAAAGCCATACAATGATTTATATGGGTTATAAGTTGTATGTATATCTACACATATATGTTAATTTTAAAGAGATATATATATTTTAAAATAGTTGTATATATATGTGTATATATACATATATAATCTAATGAGTTACAACCAGGTTTGCATTGGAGTATTAAATATGTAAGTCTCTGCTAACAAAACTTCTCTATCTATTGTTAGTGCAGTTAATACAGTGGTTATGATCACAGACTCTGAACTCAGAGTCATCAGATTTTAATCTTGGCTTCCTTTCCTGTTAGTTTTGTGATCCAGGGCAAGTTTCTTGAAAAATGGGGATAACGGTAGTACCAAAATCATAGGAATGCTGTAAGAACTAAGTAAGTTAACATTTATAAGGCATTTTGAACAGTATCTGATACATAAAACACAATGTTTATAAATAATAAATGCTTATCAACATTTATCAACATTATCAACATTTTCACAGAGCACAGTAAATACTGTCGAAACTAAACAAAGTTTTAAGAGTTCTTTTTGTGTTTTTCCTGATAATGTTGCTTTCCTTTGAATTCCATAGAATTTCTTCTAATTTCATAAAGTATTTGTTTGATGAGGGGAGAGAAAGGGTATTACAGACAATTTACTGGAGATGATGTTACCCTAGTGGAGTCCTGAAAACTGAGTAGGGATCATTCCAGTGGAGTGGGTAAGAGAAATATTTCAGTCGAAAATAAATGAATTGAGAGAAAGCACACTACTAGGTTTGATTAAGTTTATGAGAATACAGAGTATAAAGAAGAGAACTAGGGAGATGAGAACGCAGGATTAGGCAGACAGAAAATCCCCCAAAGCTCCGTATGTCTCTTGAAGCAGTTTGGATGGTGATGGACTGCAGGAAGAAAGTGACTAGATCACAGCGGTGTTTGTGAAAATGGGGACTGGATTAATGGGTGGCAACAACAGAGCGTGGAAACAGGAAAATACTGCATTTGAATGCAATGGAAGGTCCAACATTTTACTACCTCAAGTTCTAAAAGAAGAAAATAGAGAGCAGGGAAGACAAATTATCTAAGAAATAATGAAAAACAATTACATAGAACTGAAGGGCTAACGTCTCCAGACCAAAAGGGATATTGCAAATCTACAAAGAGCTAAGAATCAGAACAACATAGATGCTAGTTAGAAGACAAAACACTACCTTTAAATTCTGAGAAATCGATTTTTCGATTTAGAATTTTATGCCCAGCCAAACTGGCAGGATGGTACGATGCATATTTTCATACACGCAAGGACTTGGAAAGCATGCCACATCAATGCCCTTTAATGCGTTGCAATAAAACAAGGGAGTAAAACTGAGAGAGAAGGACTTATGGGAGCCAGTAGATAAGAAGACGAGTCTTTCTAAGAAAGCAGTGAAGCAAAGGTCCACGATGGCACCTGTACCACGAAGGCATGGAGGGCAATGGTTTAGCTTGGAAGAGGAAAGATGGAGAACCTCAATTTGGAGGTCTCGAAGAAAAAGAACCCAACAGAATGCCTAAATAATGGAGAGTCTAGAGGAAAAACCCAACAGCCTGAGGCTACACCAGAGCAAGCAGTTCAAGGAAAAAAGAATGGAATTCAGAAACATTAAAAAAAAACCAAAACCTTAATACGCACATTTACACAGGCATGGTACTTATGAACACCTTATTCTAAAGTGCAACTTTAGTATTAACCTAGATAAAGCTTAAGAAAAGGCAATCACGGTTGCAGACAATATACACGTCATCACTGTGGGCAACATAAACAAAAAGGTCCCTGTGGGGAAGCGGAGGTAAGGAGTGGCCGACGGGAAGGAGAGAAGAGGGGGCTCAAACCCTGTCTTCCGAAGTATGGAATCAAGAGAGGATGTCTCTAGGTGGTCGAGCGAGAACTGAAAAGCTTTTTAAACTGTGCAATTGCATCCCATCCAGTAACTCGAAACAGTGACACAACGATACTGGTAGGATGCAGGTAATGCAAGTGAAGGGTAACGTAAGCCGAATAAACCCTCACCTGTTCAGTTAGTGAGCACTGTCGAACAGTGATAACGCATGGAAAATGGGAAACGGAAATAACTACTAGATGAAACCTAAAATGTTTAGAAACTGAATCTGTACTATTTGGAGTTTGAATCATACACGTTATTACTCGGATAAAAATGTCACAAATTTTAAAACAGAATTCCTGTGTTCTCTTTCTAGGAAGCAGACTTGCCTGGTTTCTCTTGTTCTCCAGAAGTGAAGTTTCATAGAGTTGGGCATTATGAAGAACAATACCACAAAATGCCAGGTAAGCAGCAAAGTCCTGGAAAACAGGTGAGACAACACCAAATAAAACTGTCTTGTTATATTGCCTGAGATGCAAAAGACAACCCAAAATATCTGTAGTTGAAATAAAAATAGAAAGCCCAAAGTGTAGATGTTTGTTCTGCATAAAATTAGGAACCGATGTAGAGCAAGTGTGAGCTAAATGGCACAGCTAGTGGGTGACAAGTGTTGATGAAGTCTCCTGAAGTCGTACATTAGGTGTAAATGAGCGAGGAGGGAGGGGGAGCGACTGAGACGCAGGTCTCTGTATTATCTGAAACTGAAATTCGCTCTATGCAAAATTTGGTGTAGAGTCTCTGAATGGCATTAAGGCTTGGATATATGCCGAGAAGATATAAAAGCTTATAATTTACTACTGGGGCAAATAAAGCTCACATTATTGTTAAGAGAATATTAGCAATAATAGTACCATATAAAGTTGCAAATATTAGCTTAAATATGTTCTTTTTTAACATGCATTTATCATCCTCAGTACACCATACTAAGGTGGTATGCTCACAGTTATATCAATTCTTGATTCAATAAATCTTTACATGGCACACTTTATCTACAATCATTGGTTTATTTTGCCAAGTGATGATACAGCCTAAAGAGGCAAATCTTTCAAGAGTGGTTTATATTAACGGACTATAAACAAATAATGGAATATATAGCCAATCTAAAACCGTGTTCCCCACCAAACATTCTCAGGTGTCATTAACAGGATAGGTGAATAGATGTCTGTTACTCTGATTTTTAAAGTACTTGCTATGCTCTGAAGCAATTAACACATGGGGAGCAAGACAGGTACAAATACAGCGTACAGCATGGAGACACAAATCACTGTCGTGTCTGCGTGTCTCTCCAAAGCTCCTACTAATTTTCGGGGGAGTGACAGAAGTAGCTTGAATTGGAAGAATTCAGTGGGTCCCATGATATACACATATTCAAGAAGACAGACAGTGAAACCTGCTGACAGAATGAAGTTGTAAACAGGTTTATGGGCTTCTGCCCTGAAATGCAAAACACGCTGGTGTGGGCTGTGGGCTGTGGCCTGTGGGCTGTATGCCTTCAGAGCCGGACGGGACGAGTAATAAAGTGATGCTGACTGCCGTTCTTTCTAAGTCACATCATGCAGCCTGGATCTGCACCTTGGCGCCCTATTGTCTGTGTGCAAAGCTTATAAAACAGTCTGAAATCTGCTTCACTGGGAGGCAGTTCCAAGTTTCAGCTGACCTGCAGTGAAACTTGGAGCAGAGCGTTAGGGGACTGTACTCTAGGTTGGGCTCATTTACAGCAGTGATGACAGGTAAATGAGCGGTTTAAAGACCACGTCGCCCTCTGTGTGGCCCGGACATGCACACAGCCCTGGGGTGCAGCCACACAGTGTGGAGGCAGGTGGGGGTCCTGCGGCCTGCATAAACATCACGGCGCTCCGAAGCCCGCTTGGGCCTGTATTCCCCATGGGAGAGACACTTGGACTGTTTCAGCTCACTTTAAACCAAAATGTTCTTGTGATCGACAGTTTCAGCCACAGCCAATCCTAGAGGTGTGTACACTGTAAAGATGAAGCCTCTTCCTGAACGGACCCCACACCGGATGCAGGTTTGGTACCTTTTCGTCTTTTTCAGTGAACGTCCCGCCATTCCCCGACTTCTTGTTGATGGCCTGGGCTACACCAACGACCTGGTATGAGGAGAGAAAAGTGGTCATTTCGCTGACCAAAATTACTGGTGTGAATGCACCACGTGTGTTTACAGAAGAACTCCTGCATGGACTTTAAAATACCAGTAAGCTACAAAACCGAAAAAGAGAACAACCCTCAGCATTTGAACCAGCTCTGCATCGCTTACTAGATTCTTTTTTCCTAATAAGAGTCTGAATGTTTTTTGCCTTTTTGGATCCCAAACTACATTTGATTCAGTGATTTCACCCTATGCCGTGAAAGAAATTATGGGCAGTCACACTTTAAAAGAGCATTTTTTATCACACTTCAAATAAAATATATGATAAAAAGAACATTTTATATTGGTTTTAAATATATTATTTCAAACAGGCTGAATGCTCTTTTAAAAAAAATGAAACAGGAGCCAATCGCAGATGTTAGAAATCCAGGAGGACTAGGGGGAAAAATAATTCCTAATGTATAAACGCAGTCCAATTTCTTTGGAAACTCCTGACCTTGAAAATTATGTTACCTTCAACAGACTTATTTTGGGGGAAAGAAGTTTTATTGAAAAATCAAAACAGGAACTTACAGGCTGAGCCTTACGTCAAATGGATCAGAAGATGTTTGGAAGATAAGCTACACCATAAGAAAACTCAGTTGCACTCTGTGCACGTGTTTTACGTTTCCACAAAAGATTTAGCAAGGCCTTAAGAACCTTCTCACCTTTCTGCCTGAAAGTGTATTTTACTTACCTGTCTAGTTCCAACTTCAGTTGGAGTTATTGCCTTAGTCATATAAAAACCTTCGACTTACTTTGCCTCCTCTTTACTCGTTATAAACTCTACTCTTTCTTCCTTCTGCAGTTTACTCTCAGTTGACTAAGGTACTCGATCCTTCTAGGTGGCTGCGCTCTGAGAATGCGCAGTCTTTAGTGCTGTGTGGATGGTTCGCTCGTGTTTTCTCGGCTCGCTCCAGCCCCTCAGCTCTAAGACAAGGCTATAAAATGCCCCTCTAGGGCGGCAGGACAAGGAGGGGAGATGCATTACTGCCTGACGGAGTTTCCTGGTCTTCTCCATACTGTTCCTCCCTGACCATGACAGAGTAGAGGGACGCTAAAAAAAAACCCGCAAAATTATCCAATTATCCTGTGCCTTTTTATTGTCCTTAGTTCAACCATGCTTACTTTTGTACACTCCGTAGCACTGGAAAATGGCTAACAGAGAGAGGCTCCAACCTCTGTGGCTAAATGGCTACGAAAGCTTCTGTCTGAGGTCGGCGGAAGGACCAGGCACGTCCACCTGAGTAGAGCCGACAGGAGTCCCTTGAGGGGCACTGGTCTAGGAGCACATGGCGGTGCCAGCACCAACTGGTCACCCTAAGTGTGCATCCATCCACTTAACAAACGCCGAGGTGCTACCGTGGGCGGAGGAGTGATGAAAACCGGGAGAATCGCGAAAGGGTGACGCGTAAGCGTACACGCGCTGATGTGCGCTTAGGGCGGCACGATCGGTCTGTGCCAGCGATGCCCGCCACGGCTCAGAGCGCAGAAGGGGATGCCTCATACGGGAGGAAGACAAGGCTTTTCGGAGAAGATGACGTTTTTGTTTTTGTCTTTAATAAATGGTTTTATAAAAGACGAAGTTTAAATCTTCATTTTAAGGAAGATGAGTTTAAAACAGATAAAGAGGCTCTTATGCAAACCTCACGTAACTGCACAGTATTGATGTAGAGAAAAGTACGTGTCGACGTGCTGTGTGTACATGGAGCTGTGTGAGGCAATGTGCTAGGCAAGAAAATAAGGAGGAAGTTCCCACTTACTCGAAAAAGGACAGGGACAAGAAGCCTGCTGCTTATTAAAGGGCCAGCACCCAAACCACATTAACACGTTAGTCCATCGTGACATCCTCATAAACTGACAGTGAGGTGACAGTTTCTCTTAAAGTCTTAAAAAAAAAAAAAAGACGAAAATCAGCTGTGCAATGTCTTTTCTACTGAAAGCGATAGTGTGGGCTGGTTTAGGTCATTCTTAAGGGGTCCCTTGAGATAGGGGACGTTGGTGTGGGGCGTTAGCTCGCCGCAGCCCAGGCTGCAGGCTACACACACCCCCAACCCAGTTAGCGGTGTGTGAACGGATCCGGGATGCAGGGAGAGCTGGGAGGGCAGAGGGTGTGACGGTGTGTCTGTGGGCCCGTGAGCACCAATCTCTCACAGAAAAGCAAAGCCACTCCTTTTACACTCGAGAACATTTATAGCGTAAGCGTTTTTCTAAGAGTGGGCAGAAAAGTTTTCTCTGGTTAAAAATACAAATGTCACTGAAACCACCCTAAATATAAGCCAACATTCACAATTTTCAACCAATACAATAATGCTTACAAAGTTCAATAACTATTTTCCATTTGCAGAATTTCCATTGATTCTCTTTCCAAACCGGCCTATTCCTCCCCCTCCCGCTTCTTCTTCCTTTAAGTACCGGTGCCTGCTGTCCGTCTCTAAGTCCATCCTAGCGGGCACTGTTTCCCGTGGGAATGCCATGTCCCTGAGCCACGTGGCGTCCTGGCACGGCATGGCGGTGCGAGCTGGACCGCCATACCTGTCCCTGCCCCCACCCCACAATGCTCCCCCCTACGCACCCCGACGTTCACCTCATGATCCTCGACCGCAGACCTCATTCCAGGAGCCCATCCGGCCTTTAGGCACTGTCCTTTCTTACTCTGGGGTCCCTGCTGTTTCTGACAGCTGGGGTTTTCCCTGCCTTGAGCTCATCTATAATTTTAAAAATCGCTTTTGGTGAAATTTTTTCTTCTCCTTGTCTGCGGAGTGGGGGCAGGGATGCTGCCGTCCGTTCAGCTGGGCAAACGGAGCAGAAGTCGTGTTCACAGCCTTCGCACCGACTTATACCCCTGAATGCCAGGTCTCTACTACGGTTATTTGTTTTCCCCAAACATTAGGGCGAGACATTCACCATCAGGCAACTGCATGGAACGAGGACTTCCAACCATGTATTTTTCACTCTCCCTGATAACCAATTATTTCACTAATAATTTTATAAATTTAGATATTAGAAGTTAATTTGTTGAAAAAAGGATTAATTAAACATAATAGATACTTAAGGAAAAAAACCAGGCAAGTTCTTTCAAGAGACTATTAGACCAGAAAAATATATCTAATACGTGTTTATGCCCCCATCCCCAGATGGATGACATTTTAAAAATATTTTAAAAACAGCACTGATAAAAGCAACAGATGAAAATAAAAAGTATAGTGTTTGTCCAAGGTCACGTAAGAGAGTAAAGAGAAAAGAAAAACAGACTTCGACGCTCCAAATTTCAAAGATCCTAAGCAAAACTAGCACCCTCTGCCCTCGTTGATATAAAGTCTTTCTTTCTATTGCTCCTTTCGACAAATTAGTTCATTTTCTTCAAGCCAAGAAACTGCTAACCACAGTTTTTAAATGTCAGTTTTCAAAGACAGCTTTTGTGGCAAGTGTCTGTCAGACGCCGTATCTGAGGGGCAAAGCCCCTAAAAATGTCAGCTTCCGTAGAGAGCCCCGTCACTCTGCCCACCTGCTGGACCCTCAAACACCAACACTTTATGCTATTGTTTTTTAAGCACAAAAGAGCTTCTCTGTTTTCTGTTTTACTGGCAATTTTCGCAGCATAAATGGACATTATGTCCTCACAGGGTCAAGCGTTCCTTTCGGAATGCAAAGGGCAAGACTCGCGTCTCGCGGGGTGAGAAGCATGGGACACCAGAGCTGGTCCTTTCAGGGCACCGGTCACGGCCACAGTGAGCAATTTCTCCCTCGATGGGCGGCTGCCCAGACCCTTACTGCGGCCACATTCACCCCACACCTCTCCCGACCCAGTTCCAGGGGACGCGCCGCACGGAGGGCAGAAGCCGGTGAGGAGGTGCAGACTCTGCACCCCTCAGCCGTCTCTCCCGCCCCCACAATGTCTCTGTCACCGTGCCGGGATGCGGCACCATCCGTGACCTGAGCCAAACACCTGACTCCACCAAGAAAGCGAGAGCTTCCTAGCCACACGGCACTCTTCACACTGTCCCTGGGCTCGGCCAGTCACTCAGCAACAAATATGTCCTTCCGCAAGCAACTGCTACGCGCCTGTTACGCACCGGACGCTGCTCTCGACAATGAAGACACGGCAGTGACCAGGACAGGCGCACAGCCCGTCTCTCCTTACGAGGAAGGGCGGGCGGCAGCAGGGACGGGGCTGCAAGACGCCGCAGGGTCCGAAGACGGAGGAAGGGGCCACAGTCGTGGGGTACGGGCAGCCTGCAGGAGCCGGACAAGGCCAGGGACGGACCTTCCCAGACTCCGCCCAGGGGCTCAGCCCCGCCGGCAGGCAGAGTGTAGCCCAGTGAGGACGATGGTGGACTCTGGCCACCAGGACACTGTGCTGCGTGAAGCCACTGAGTTTCGGGCAGTCGTTAGGGCAGCAGCAAGACACTCGTACATCCCACGGGAGTCGCTCTCACATTCTCCT